CATGTAAATGATGCCTGACATCCATTACCCAGGACCGTGGGGACCTTTGCAGGTAACAGGAAAGGAAAGGACATGGCAAATAGGTCCTGAGTGCTCCAGCAGCTTGCAGGGGGCAGGGGGCGGGGGTGTGGTGTTCCCACTGCTTCTATGACCACAGCTTAGTCAGGGTCTGGGGACTTAAGATGGATCTCTGAGTGTCCTTCCCCGAGTTCTTGAGCCATTTCTCAAGTGCTTTAGCAACTCATGTTAACTTGGGTGGAGCTAAGCCATCAGCATTTTTAAAAACTGAGCAACTGAGAATTCTTAGGATGATATTCCAAGGGCAAAGTTTCACAGAACCAGACTATTCCACTCGTACATTACACGGCTATCCCAACCCAGTCCCAGGATGGGCACTTCTTCTAGATAATACCATTGAACATGATGAAGCTGGAGACCCTGAAGGGCTTGTAGATGACACTTAGAATGTAGGGTGGGAAGTATTAAGGATAAGGGAGAGACTAAGATTGGGGGGATAACTATTTTAAGAAGTCAAATTGTCTAATGATAACTCTGACCCAACAGCACAAGGAAGCAAAATGCTGACCAGTCAAACATTGCAAGTTTGTCCTAAAACTAAAAATCTGATCAAACCTCTGTGTCAGATAAGGTAAACACACTTACAGCTCACTGCTTTGCATAAGCTCGATCAGATCCATAAAAAGCACATCACGGTTCCGCTCACAAAAGCCATCCATGTCATAGGACACCTTACCAAGAATGGAAAGAAATCAAATTTTACCTTTTAAATATTTCATTGAACAAAACATCCAAGCCAGCATGGCTATCTTTCACGGAATATGCATATTTTCAGATGTAACAAATGGGCTTTCATCCCAATATGTCACATTAAGGCTGTGCATGTTTCACTTGCTAGATGACTTAGCTGGTGATGGCCTGGAGATGCTGATTGCATACACGATCCAAAAGATACATCACTAGGCCCCCAGCTCTCACAATTACATAGCCCTTCTTCTACAGATATACGGGTGTGTAAATAATACACTGAATTCTTTCCCTAAATTTTAGCTAAGATGGAATAAAATGAAACTGTGCACACTAATCCACTGCAATGGGCCATGTCATCCGAGGCTTTTTGATAGAGTTAGATCAATTTAGCTACAGCCTCATGTTCAAGGATCCTCCCTGGTTAACAAGAGATTAATTGTGATGAAGAGTGAGACCAATGAATTTCCACAGTACTGTGAAGTCTCCAAATATCATGACCTCAGTTTACTTATCTGTGTATCACCAGCACCCACACAAAGCCTGGTAATGCAGTAACACCCAGTACTCATGCATTTTATAAGAACAAACCCCTGGTCCTTATTTATACTCCCAAGGAAGATCGGCAAGTAAAAAAATGCAGGCTTGCATAACAGGCAAGACGAAAGCTCATTCCTTCAGCAGTTAATATATATGCTGATTCATATTTACATTATATAAGGGTGATTCATGTTAAAAAATACACAGCAGTGTATACTATCTTTTGCTTGTCTCTCCAAATATTTCATAAGCCCCATGGTGCACGAATGAATGATGGATCAATAAAACACAGTGAGGCAGATAAAACTATATGGACACTTTTCAGTTGCCTCATGAGAAAACAGATTACATACCCAAAGGCTTAATACAGGTTAACTTCCCCTTTGTTGAAGCCCTGCTCCCTGGCCATACCTTCCCAGCATAATGGTGAATAATGAAGCCTTGGTTCCAGCTGTTGAAGTGCTCATGGTTCCCAATCTGCATCTGCAGTTTCTGGAGCAGCGTCTGGTCCGCCCCCTCACCCACCGCGTGCATCGTGGCACATACATCATCCAGAATGCTCATGATCCCAGGAGGGTTCTGATAGGACCAAGAAAGCAAAGCCCCAATTCACTGACTGTTCTAAAACATACCATGTTCATTAGGACTTTCCTTAAATAAGGAAACAGCTCCTGAGACTTAAGATACCTTCTTGGAAGTCAGTCTTTCCCTTTGAGGAAGGATGCTATTAGTAATCCCAAATGGGAGCCACCTCTTAGATCTAACAATGGAACAAAGTCCATTTTCAAAAAGAAAAGTTTAATTTCCCAAAGTTCTATTCAAAGTCACACACAGAAAGATCATTATCTGCTCACTTTTATTGTACTAAGTTGATTTTTAAAACTCTGAAGAAAGCCATTTTTCTTTGATCCTAATTCATTTCTTAATGTTTGTTTTCAGCTTGTTATCCATATAGACATAGATAATACATACTGGACACATTCTATCATATATCACTTTTTCTGCATAGCACTAGTTTATAAATAATCCTCCCGTTTTACACAGTCTTTATACTTATTATTTTGATGGCTATGTTTCCCTGTTCTTATATGCTATAATTTATTTAAGGACTGAATTATCTATGAATGGTTTTACCATTGCCACTTTGGGACTTTTATAAAAAACAAAACAAAATAGTACTGTACAGATCTGTCTATGCCCCTTTATTTTCTTTTGAATAATTTCTAGGGCTAAAGTCTTAGAAGTTGTATAAATGGTCTGGAAGGCAGGGCCATTTTGTATCTCTTCATACACTATGCCATCAACATAAGTGATAACTGTCTCCTCTTAAAATTCAGTAACAACTTCCATTCATAAATTGATAATGTACTTATATACACATGTATATATTAACTGTAAGAATAAAACCCTGTTTTCACGCATATACATAAAAGCAAAATAAATGTAATTGCTAAAACTCTCTGCATCAAGGATTTCCCTGGTGGTCCAGTGGCTGACTCCGCACTCCCAGTGAAGGGGGCCTGGGTTCAATCCCTGGTCAGGGAACTCGATCCCACATACCACAACAAAACCCAGGCACAGCCAAATAAGCAAACAAAAAACCTCTTTTCAATCAGAGTTCTCACTCTCTCTATTCTAATACAATGACAGAGAGAACAAAAACTCACTTAGTGTAAACCTGTGAACAGTGAAGAGACACACCAGACCGATACTTACAACTTTGTTCTCAATGAGGTCACATACGACTTTGTTATTAAAGTAATCGATGGGTGTCCATCTAATGCCTTCTTGCACATATTCTTCCTATAGGACAGAAAGCAGGAATTCTCATTATGACTCAGTGAAGACCATCTAGAGTTCAGCACAGATGGATATCACAGGCACATAAATCATCAGGAAAGAAAAACCTGGATCCCTCCCATAAAAACTAGCAATACTAATATTTTCTAAGAGGAAGAGGAAAAGAGAATTTCATTGCTTGGTAATTTTTATGTTTGGTTAGAACCATATAAAATTGCTTCCATACAATTGTTTTTGACATACAAAGATGGCAATTAAAAATGGCTTAACCCATAGGTCCAGTTATGAAATAATCTCTTGGAACTTAACGTAGAACAGAAGTACAGATTAGCATCGAGGTACTTAAAAGGAAGGCCCCTCATTCAGGTCAGTTGCTCATTAAACATCATGAACACCATCACACTCTCCTGGTTTCCCTCATTCCTCATCAATCTTGCTTTGTTAGCATCTAGTGCTGGCTCTCCCCTCCACCCCCTGATCTTTATATGATGGGGGGCTCTCAGGGCTCAATCTCCCAGCCTTATTTTCTCAACCTTTTCTCTCTAGGTAATTCCAATCAACTCCGTGGCTTAAAATAATACCTATAGGCTATGACACCTGAAAGTGTTTCTCTAGACTGGCCCCCTGAGTTCCAGAGTCACATTTTTTTTTCACATACTGGAATGTCCACTCAGAGGGATAACAGGCCTCTCACAGCTACCGCGTTCAGCAGTGCTCCGGCCCTACATCCCTCCACCGTCTCCAACCAACTGCTCTCCTCCTCATCCTACCATTCAGTAAACAGTCTCCCCACTGGTCCTGTTATTCAAGCTGCAATCGAGGTAAAATCATCTGCGACTCCTCTTTCCTCAGCTAATTATGTTGAGAGCAAGTCACACTGACTCATTCTGCAAAATATACACCAAATCTGACCCCCTCTCACCATGTCCCCACCTCTACTGTAGCCATCACTGTCTACACCTCACCATTCCTGCTTAGTCTCCCCGGGAGTCTGGTTTTGAAACGTCTACTCTTGTTTGTCCTCCCCTGCCTCAGCCTGCCCTGTCTAAGTGCACAGAGTCAAAGCCAACTGGTCAAAAGCAAATCAGATGGCATTACACTCTACTGAAAATCCTCCAGTGGCTTCCCATCATTCTTACTCTGAAGTCTTGGCCGTGCCCTACAAAGTTCCTCTGTGACTCAACCTCTGCCTTCTCCCATCTCAGTCTCTACCACGTCCACTCTTGGGGTTTGGCTCTAGCTACTCTGAGGAGTGGCAGAATTCCAGGGCAGAGTTTTCTATGAAAACTATTCATCACTGGTGTTCCTAAGCAGGCACATGAACACTTCCGTGAAGAAACATTCTTCAAACAGCCTCAAATATGTGCAGTGGGTTGAATGTGTCCTCCAAGATTTTGTGTCCATCTAGAACCCCAAAATGTCAGGAAATAGGATATCTGGAGATATAATTAGCTAAGAATTTCATAATGAAATTATCATGGATTTAGGGTGACCCCTAAATCCAAAGACTGGTATCTTTGTAAGAGAAGAGAGAATGAGATTTGGACACAGAGAGAAAATGGACACATGAAGCCACAGAGACTGAAGGCATGCTGCCCAAAGGCAAGGAATGCCCAGAGCACCTTGAGCAGCAAGAGGAAAGGAAGAATTTCCCCTATAGCCTCTGGAAAGAGTGCTACCCTAGCAACATCTTGAGTTTGAATTCTGGCCTCCTGGACTGGGAGAGGAAAAAATATCTGTTGTTTTAAGCTATCTGGTTGGTGGTACCTTATAGCAATCTAAGAAATAAAAAAAAAACAGTAGGCACCAGAATAAAAGGGAACTTGTACTGGACTTTCAGTAGGAAGTATAAACAAGATAAGTAACCTCAAGTCAGAATTTAAATATCAGCTTTGTTAAAGACACATTTATTTTTATGTTAGATTGGGAGCAGAGCAAATCTGAGAAAACCAAGTTTTCCTTTGGAACACAGTATATGCAATTGGGGTTGGAATAGGTTTCCATTTCCACTTGGTCAATGAGTCATAGAGTAGTAAAAACAACCAGTCATAAGTCCAACTTCACAGCATCATTTACTTACAGAGAAAGAAAATGTAGCAGATGGTGTTTATACTTCAGACTAAAATGTCACAGCAGCATATGGTTTTTCTGCCTGACTCTATTAAGTACATTTTCTAATAAAAAAACTATAATATGAACCTATTACCAAAAGAGAGAGATCTATACCCTTCAAAACAAATCAGAAACAGAAGAAGGGAGCTACTCACCTGTTCTGCCTTTAATGTGAGTTCAATAAAAATCTGCTGTAATTTTTCATTAACAAAATTGATACAAAACTGTTCAAAGCCATTTTTCTGAAGAAAAGAAAAAGACAAAGTGTTACTTTTATGTACTTGTTTCTGCAAAATCATTTTAAAGTCACTTCTTGAGTGATTTAGTGAGAAAGCTTAACAGAAATGTTGGCGGCATCAGTAGAAACAGCATAGTTTATATTTAGGAGATACTAATTTAGTATAGGTACATGAAGAACTCAAAAAGGCAAAAGTGAGCCACAATGATTTTTTTTTTTCACTGCCTAGAATTATTTCTTTCAAGCCAGGTAGAAAGCATTACCCTTCTTTGTCTTTAATTACTCAAGCTGGTCTTACCTGAAATATTTCAAAGCCATAGATGTCTAGGACACCAATGTTGTATTCCTGGTGGTCCTTCTCCATTGCTTTGTTGATAGACTAGAAGAAAGTAACCAGCATGTTAATTAACTCCTTTCATAGTCATATTAAAAATGGGCATGCATGGGGATAAGAAAAGCAGATACTACTGCCTATGGAAATGGAAGCAGACAAGAAGACAGATGAATTGCCCCTTAAAAAAGGCCTCAGTGCAATGTCAAGTTTGTGGGAAAACCACCAGAATCTTAAAAAAAAAAAAAAAAAAAAAGTAGCATGGTAGAAAAAAAAAGTTTGCTTCATGATGAAAATCATTCATTTCTGGCAGAACTAGTTTTTCTCAGGAAGTCTTGAGAATTAGAAGAAAATATCATCTTGGATGAGTGAAGTAAAACCTGTTTCACAAAAAGAACCAATATTGCAGGATTTGTAAATATTCTTTCCATTAACCCCATCCAGTATAGGCATACATAAGAGACACCATGGGTTTGGTTCCAGACCACTGCAATACTGCAAATATCACAAACAGTGAGTCACACCTTTTTTTTGTTTGTTTCCAGTGCATATAAAAGATGCTTATATTATACTGTATGTACTTTATTAAGTGCAGTCTTTTAAGTAGCATTACATATTAAAAAATGTACATACTTTAATTAAAAATTATTTTATTGCTAAAAAAAAAAAAGCTAGCACCTGAGCCTTCAGCAAGTCATAGTAGTAACATCAAAGATCACTGATCACAGAGCACCATCACAAATATAATAATGAGTTTGAAATATTGCCAGAATTACCGAGATGTGACAGAGACATGAAATGAAGAAATGTCAGAAAAGTGGCACTGATAGGTTTGTTCAACAGAGTTGCNGGTTTGTTTAACAGAGTTGCCACAAACCTTCGGTTTGTAAAAAAAACAAGTATCTACAAAGCATAATAAAACAAGGTATGCCCTGTAGTCAGTTAATGATCATCTAACATAATATGGCAGGAAATGTCAACAAGACAGTCTTTATTCTCAGAGGCAACTGTGGACAGTAATGCCATTAATTAGTATTAAAGCGATGGTAATGAAAAGCAACTTTAGATGGATTCAACATTCACCAGGCTTTGGGAAGGGCTTCCCAAGTGTTGTTTCATTTAGTTCTCGCTACAATCCTCTTAATGACACTGATAACATCATAATGTATAAAACCACACTGGATAAGAGGAAGGGTCTGGAATTCAATTTAAGTAGTATGATGATTATATCTGTGTTCTTGACCACTGTGAAAAGAGATGTGTAATCAATGAAACAGACAATGTTAGGAGGCGGGTGTAGTGTTAAAGGGGGTCAGTCAGGCCTGCAGGGGAGGGAGGAATGTAAGAGAAAAATTCCTGGGGGTTGAGAATAACTGGAGGAATTTTTAAGTACCAGAGTTGTTTTCCAGGCAAAGAAAATGACATTCATCTTTTATCAGCCAACAGGTAACGATGTATAGCACTTAGCCCAGTGCCTGGCACAGAGTCAGGGCTTAATAAATGTCAGCTCCAATTAGTATCACTTATACAGGGCATCTGCCCCATTACACCACACAATCAAGGGAAGACAGAAAGGAAATAAAGTGGGAAGGCCAGCACTGGAAGGTTCACTGAACAGAAGCAAGAGATGTAGGTTCTAATCCCAGTTCGGCACAACCCTCCTGCTAATGGCCGTGGGTGAAATCACCAATTCTCGGGCTAAGATTCCCTTGTCAGTATAATGATGGGCCTGGACAAGCTAAAAGCATGACTAATGTTTTGTATAACCCTGACCTTTCTAAGCAATCTTACCATTAATATAACCATAAGAAGTACACAGAATATTTACCCTACCCTGCTCTGACCTACTCAACCCTAAACACACCCAACAATACTTTAAGCCTTACAGATGTTGCCTGGAGTGAAACACAGACTTTCTGGACCTAATGGCCAGCCTGTTGTCCGTTGACTGGGGTTCCCCTGGGGTTCTTTCTGGCTGAAATATATAAAAGGTAGAGTGAAATAGCTGGAGCTCTGCCAAATTACCTGGGTTTAAGTCCTAGGTTTATCACTTAATAGTGGTGTGACGTTGGCGAAGTTCCCGAACCTCTCTGTGTCTCAGAGTTAGCTTATATGTTTAATAAATATAATAATGCCTATGTCACAGAGTTGTTATAAGAATTATTTTTTTTCTAAAGTACTTAAACCAGTATCTGGCACGTAGTAGTGCTATATAAGTGCTTGCTATTATTATTCTAACCATTTACAAGCTACAGTGATTAACACAGACTGTCACTGTCAGTGACAGCGCTGAGAGACTACTTTTCAGAATCTATAAGTTATATATATATATATAAATATGTATGTATATGCATATTTAGATATAATATCTGTATGGTACACCATAATTTTAAAAGTCTGTGGTAGTTTAAAAAATATGTCCGAAAAGTCTTTGACACTCCTCTCCCCCCAAAATTGGAAATTAAATCCTCTGCTCTTAACTGTGGGCTGTCCTTAGTGACTTGTTTCTAATGAACAGAAGCTGACAGAGTGGCAATATTTGAGTCCAAGATTAGGACATCAAAATCTTTGCAGCTTCTTCCTTGCTCTTTCTCTTACTCATTCTAGGGGAAATCAAAACCCATGTTGTGAGGATATTCAAAAGCAGCTCCAAAAAAGATGCCCATGTAGCAAGGAACTGAGGCATTCTGCCAATAGCCATATGAAGACGCCATCTTGGAACCATATTCTCCAACCCTCGTCAAGCCCTGTAGTTCTAATCAGCATCTTTTTGCCCTCTCATCCCTGAGTCAGAGCCACCAAACTAAGTCACCTCCAAATAGCTGACCCGCAGAAACTGTGAAAAAATAAATGCTTACTATTTTAAGCCACTAAGTTTTGGGTTAATTTGTAACATAACAATAGATGACAAATACAAAATTCTAAACCTTTAAGCTGAAAGATTTACGACAGTGGGCCTCCCCTTTTTCTGGTCTGTAGTTCTGGCTTCACTAAATATTTTGTCCACAAGAAACTGTTACCATATTTTTTTGCTGGACAATACTAGAAGTAAAAGTGGAAAAGTAAAAAATGGTTCCAGTGTGAGGATAAAACATGGAGGAGTAAAGTGATGATCACGTAAGGAATGAGCCAAAACGTGAAAACAAAGCTCTGAGATGTTTTCCTCTTTACATGACATTAGAATGTGAAGCCCCAACAATGTCAATCTGTGTTTACTTACATCTACCAAGAAATCAAAGACCCGGGAATGCAGGGCCTTGGCAAGTGCGTCCCTGGTGTAACAGGCTTGCTCTACGTTGAGGGTCACGTGGATAGACTCTGACTTGCCTCCCCACTTGCTGTCCATCTGTCGGCTTGTTAGCTTTTCTTTCAACCGGTCCTGGTTGATCCCCAGGAGATAGGCAGGAAAAGCCAAAACTACACAAAACAAAACAAAAACATGACTGTCTTCCAGATTTTTTTAACAATTCCTCTCACAAATACATGAAGACATGTGTGTGCACACATGCAAGATACCAACCATCATTAGCCTCCAAGATCTTTCACTATAATGAAGACTGCTTATCAGAGATCTCACACACATCCATCCACTTTAAATTTTCCCAACTTTTCTATTACATGAGTCAATTCCTATGACGACCGAGACTTTCAATAATACAAATCAGTGATCCAAGAAGGGTGGCAAATCAATCCCCCCTACTGAGATCACAGCCAAATGCCTAAAATGGACATCTTTCCAAGTCTGCAGCAAGACAGCCTGGAAGGAACTAAATGAAGAAACATTTTTTTGGCTCGAAATACTGTTTTTCTTCCTTTTTGGTACAGTGTTTTCATAGAATCATCATTCCCAGCTTGAAGCACCTGATTTCATCAAACTTATAATGATAACAAATCACATAGTTATTGAGTACTTACCATGTGTTGGGTTACTAAAGACAGAAGACAGGATATAAAATACTTAAGAAATCTTGAAGACAATTTAGATGGGGCAAAGATAGTTAACCAAATAAAGAAGCCTACAAAAAGCTGAGTATGTGACATGGACAGGCAATAAAGTCCCTGGAGGAACTTAGGACAGAGAGATATTACTGTTTGCTGGGGTGGTCAAGGAAGATGTGGGATTTGGTGGGGGGAAGGGGAGGGGCTAAAAGGCTGAACAGGGTTTGCACAAATGCAGAGGAAGAAAGAAGAGGGAGAGAGGGGAATGGGACGTGCAAAGGCAAGGACCCTGGGTAGGGGAGACACGGCTGAGGTGAGGACTGGCTGGAGATGAAGGTCAAGGTAGGTGATTAAAACATTAGGATGAATACTGACGGTGGAATTGAATGGTAGGGGATATTTGGTCTGGAGTCAAAGGGGGCCTGGATGGCTTCTAGAGACACATGTTACCAGATTTCTCTGGGGCAGAGTATAAGCAATGGAGGGGACTGTAGTAGTCACACCACAGAAAAAACATCCCATACTAAGCACATGCAGTTGGCATAGCTTGTGCCCTTCAGATAGAAAAGGTGAGGTTCTCACAGCTCAGCAAATTGTCTCAAGCCAAGAAACTCACCAAGAGGGGGCCCAGAGATACCAACAGGTTTTCTTGACTTTTTGGTGGAAATACTCTAATATGAATAAATGACAAGCATGAGATTCCTGGACGTGAAAGAATGCTCAGATTTTTTCCAGTACTAAGGAAAGATTTTTGTGAACACAAATCAAAATTCTGGACTTGGATATGAATTCTATTTTTCTGCATAAAGTTTTGCCAAAATTCTCTGATAAAGGGATTTTTATTAAAGACATTATGATAATGCACAAAAATCATAAAGCTCCCAATAAAGATTAATCTGTTTGAGTTTCACAGATGGTATTGGAATGTAACAGGCTGACATTTCTCAGTATATACCTTCCAAGGAGATTAAGTCAGTGAAAGCATTTTGAAAAAGTACAATGCTAGAACAAGGTATTTATCATCTATGTGACTGCTGCACAGAAATGCTCTGATGGGGAGAGGGCTTCATTTTTCAAAGGGCATGTGAACAAAATTAAACACGCTAATTTGCCAATGGCCAATTTCCTTTAAGTTTAGTTTCACCACACATATGTTTAGGAATCTGGATGTGTATTCTGCCAAAGTGAAAATTACCTTGCACAGAACAAGGACATAAGATGCCTGTAAATCACATGTGCAGCTTTGCATGAGAATCAAAAGACACTTAGTGAGGAGGCCTTTATGAAGGAGAAACTACAGTGTTGGTTATTATCACTCTCACCAGGCAGATAACATGTAGATGAAACATGGGCTTCTCCCAAGCCCCCAACCATGCTAAACTAGGGACACAGTTAAAATGGTTGGTAGAAATGTTTATGGCATTACCATTATAGCCACAGCTAAAGAAATAAAACAATATGGCATAAGTCCTAGGGTCCTTGAGATGAAACAGACAAGACTGACAAGAAAACAATATCCTTCCAGGCCTCATATTTCTTAAGTAGAAGAGGGCAAAAGTGAAGGTCCCCAGGCACTCGAAAAACAAGGCAGGGAGTTTTGGTCAAGAATCAAAGTCACAAGCTTAGGGACACAGCTAAGAAGTCTAGAGAGGAAATCTAGTACTTGTTTTTCCAAAATATGCTTGCCATGTTTTTCAAGTATAGTATCTTCTTCTATGGCTTCCCTGGTGCTGAAACTGTAGGGCTGCTCATATTGACTTCTTTCCGGCTATGAATTTCTATGAAGGTATATGCAAGAATGGCTGGATAGAAGTGGCAATTTGGAAGTTCAGAGGCTGGGGGAATGGGTCGGGAAAGAGAGAGCAAGGAGAAAGCACTGATTAATTTTAAAAATGCTGACATAACTCTGGTAGAGTTAAACAGAATTATGCAGGGCATAAAAGAACCCGCTAGAAAAGAATGTTTTAGCACATTTTGATAATGAGAATAGATTTCTACTACTGCATTCAAGTGTAAAGCAAAGTTGGATTGAATTTTTCCATTTAAGTATAGGGAATATAGAGAAACCAAAAAGATGTAGCAAAACAAAACTCCCTGTTACAAATTTAAAAGAAATGGCAAAGTAAATGTGGTTTGTCAATCTTGGGTGTTGAGGGTCTGTGCTTTCTAACCCACTGATAACAAGGCAAAGAAGGGGCACTGTTACTTTACGCCCGTGGTTACTTAAGTAGTATTTTTATTTCCTTCAACAAAGTTCTTAAGCTAATTTGCATTTAATATTCTGCTTTAGAAGACCAGTTGCAATCAAAGTCTTAACGATTTTTTTTCTACAATAGCTAAGAAAAGTCTGCTTTCTTCCTTTATAAAAACATTGGCTAAGCCTTCCCTCTGTAACAGTATTCCATATATTAAAGTCAAATATGAGAAAGATAACACAAACCAGCTTATTCATTTTAAGTAACTGGAAGAGTAACAGGAAACCATCTTTATGTCCACCAACAGATGATGGGTTCAATAAACTAAAGTACAGTCAGGCAGTGGAATGCCAATGCAGCTTTGAGAAGGATGGGATTTCCTCATTTTCAGCAATGTGGATGGACCTGGAGATTGTCATACTGCGTGAAATAAGTCAGCCAGAGAAAGACAAATATATGATATTGCTTATACATGGAATCTCAAAAAAAGGGTACACATTACAAAATTAGAAACAGAGTTACAGATACAGAGGACAACCTTTGGTCACCAGGGAATAAGAGAGGGGGAGAGATAACCTGGGAGATTGGGATGGACATATACACACTACTACACAGAGAAAGGAACCAATCAGAACCTACTGTGTAGCATAGGGAAGTCTACGCTGTAATGACCTATATAGGAAAAGAATCTAAAAAGAGTGGACATGTGTATAGGTATGACTGATTCACTCTGCTGTACACTTGAAACTAACACATTGTAAATCAATTATAAAACAAACAAAAAAATATATATATATTTTAAATGAAGCTTCTTAATGAGCTGCTATAGAATAATCTCCAAGATACAATGTGGAATGAAAAATCAACTGTAGAGCATGTTATAAACTCCCACTAACGTAGAATAGTAGGTAAAAAAAGAAGAGATATGAGCAGTTTCTTAGGAGCACAATATTCCCCTGAAAGGAATACAACAGATTGGAAACAGTGGTTCCTACTACAGAGGCGAATAGTGAAAGTGAAAGTCAAAGTCGCTCAGTCGTGTTTGACTCTTTTCAACCCCATAGACTATACAGTCTATGGAATTCTCCAGGCCAGAATACTGGAGTGGGTAATGGAATCTCAAAAAAAGGGTACACATTACAAAATTAGAAACAGAGTTACAGATACAGAGGACAACCTTTGGTCACCAGGGAATAAGAGAGGGGGAGAGATAACCTGGGAGATTGGGATGGACATATACACACTACTACACAGAGAAAGGAACCAATCAGAACCTACTGTGTAGCACAGGGAAGTCTACGCTGTAATGACCTATATAGGAAAAGAATCTAAAAAGAGTGGACATGTGTATAGGCATGACTGATTCACTCTGCTGTACACTTGAAACTAACACATTGTAAATCAATTATAAAACAAACAAAATATATATATATATATTTTAAATGAAGCTTCTTAATGAGCTGCTATAGAATAATCTCCAAGATACAATGTGGAATGAAAAATCAACTGTAGAGCATGTTATAAACTCCCACTAACGTAGAATAGTAGGTAAAAAAAGAAGAGATATGAGCAGTTTCTTAGGAGCACAATATTCCCCTGAAAGGAATACAACAGATTGGAAACAGTGGTTCCTACTACAGAGGCGAATAGTGAAAGTGAAAGTCAAAGTCGCTCAGTCGTGTTTGACTCTTTTCAACCCCATAGACTATACAGTCTATGGAATTCTCCAGGCCAGAATACTGGAGTGGGTGGCCTTTCCCTTCTCCAGGGCATCTTCCCAACCCAGGGATTGAACCCAGGTCTCCTGCATTGCAGGCAGATTCTGACTAGCAAATGGGTAGATGTGAGAACTGGATCATGTACTACCCTGAACCATGTTTAGGTATTACCAACTGGAAGAAAACAATACGACTGGGAGAAGGGCCTATTTCTCTGTTAAAGCTCTTTGGCTTCAAGCATAGCCTTCTCTGATGGCGATAGCCCCACACCACTTTCAATCAGGGGATCTCATGGCAGTTGCCAATCTTGGATTTTATCCAGTTGGCTGAGGAGGCTTCTTGGCTCAAGCATCCAGGAAAATACTTGCTGTGTCAAAGCCATGACCTTTTCCTCCAGCCTAAAGGGTCAGTAAAGGATTGTAAGAAAGCAAGAGAATGCCAGTGTATGTCTATAGAAACTGTCAAGAAATCGGAAAGGTCAGTGTTGAAAGGCAAGTGTTCATGACCCTCCTGGACACATACATGCATTTGTTAAATGTGAAGGATAAAGCACATAAAGTATGAAAACATAGTAATTATTACTGGGTTGTGCTTCTAGACTTAATGGATGCCCTGTGCATTTATTGTTTTCCACCCCACTCCCTCCCCTGGTAAACATAATTCATGTTTCTCCTTATCAGACAGACATCTAAAGTTAGCAGAACTTCCCTCTTTTATCACCAAAGAGAACAAAAATATAAAAAAAGAACCTTATTTGGAATGGAAAGAGCCTCACTGCACTGTCAGCAATGAGTAGGATACTATTTATTACTGGGCATCTAAATTTATCATCTTGGAAGAATGCTGAGAAAGGAAGAAACGTCTTCCTGGGTGGTTAAAGGATGTGTGGGTTCTGAGAGCAGCCTGGAAAGCTGACCGATGACAAAGAGGCTAAAGTCACACGCCACAGCGGCTGCAGCACAGTGGTATACACAGACCCAGGAGTGCGCCTCAGCAGGGCGCACCTGATTCCTTCTCAAAGGGTAAAAGCAATCGTTTAGGTCTCCTGACTGCTGCAGAGGGGCCATTAAAGACATCATCAGCAAGATCAACACAACAGTGTCCATTCTTCCCCCTCTTGTTTTCAGAAACCAAATCTAATCCAACCCACGGGGCAACTTACAAACCTGTGAGCTATCCATATTTACTTACATCCTGAGAGAAACTTCAGGTGAATATTAACCCTAAAGATCAGTTACAGAAAAGATTTTTAGTAGGAGACAATTCTAATTCTCATTAAAGTATCAGTTTATTTTTAAACCTACATGTAAAATTCTGCCAGGTTTCCCCAAGGTTAAAGATAAACCAGAATAACTTCATCAGTGGTCCCTAGGTTGGGTGCACAGAAGAGGCACAGACTCTGAGGCCTTTCAGTTCTGCCACAGCAAGACATGCCAGCCTTCTCAGCCTCTCTTCCCCAAAAACCCAAAGCATAGGAAAGTGGTGAGTTATTCTGATCGCAACTAAACACTGTATCCCCTCATTTGGCAACCGTGTGCCCAAATCACTCACACTCTTCACTCTCCACGGCCGCATAATTGCCAACTTCCTTGAAGCTGATGTTTCCCAGGTGGAGAATCCCCGCCACTATCTGTAGCACCAGTGCCTGCTCCTCCGCAAAGATCCCAATCACGTTCATGGCATGCTGGAAGAGGGGAGAGAAACGACCCAGACAAGTCGGTCACCCGCTATGGAAGCATATCAGAAAGAAACCAAAGCTTGGATGGGGTTGTGCAGTTTACACAGGGCTTAGAAGTCACCATAAGACAGTTTCACTGACCAATGCCCTCTCACACGTTCAAGTCTCAACACGGTGCTGGAAAGGCAGTTCAGTCTTGAAATTTATTTTTTGTGGTTTGGTCACTCAGTCAGGCCCAACTCTTCTGCGACTCCATGGACTGTAACCCACCAGGCTCCTCAGTCCCTGGGATGCTCTAGGCAGGAATACTAGAGTGGATTGCCATTTCCTTCTCCAGGGATCTTCCCGACCCAGGGATTGAACCCACATCTTCTGCATTGCAGGCAGATTCTTTATCACTGAGCCACCAGGGGAGCCCAATAAATAACCTGCCCAATGTGAACATGTAATCGTCTAGAAATACATGTGAGAAGGCTCTGGAGGAAAGATATTCAGATGCAGAGGCAGCTGCCCAGTCAACAAGTCTGTTCTTGTCTCTTAATTTTTCCTTGTTGCCACCCTCTCCCTCTAAGGGCACCAGTGCTGCTTTCCAGCCACTCCAAACTCACAGATTTTTCTCTTCATTGGGAGGGCTGAGAATAAATTGTACTTGCAAAAGAATCTTGAAAACTTCCAGGAAAACCAAATAAAAGCATCATTAGAAAAGCTTTGTTTCTGAGATCCACTAAATTCAAATAAAAGTAGATGAAAGGCCTTAGATACCCGTATCTTAAGGGGGCTCTTTTCTAAGACTGCTGCAGGCCTGTCTGCACGTTTTCTCCCACCTCCTCTGAGGCCACATGGCCCCTTGATGCCACCTCCTTTCCTCAGTCTGCCCCTTTCAAGCACAAATGTCAGCCCCCCTGCCACCTGAAACTATACCTCCAATTGCCCATTCAGTTTTCCCACGTGGTTTTGGATCCAGGCTGAGGGATGAGCCAGGCTGGTACCTGACTTAAAGGACAGCGGTAATGCAGTTCTTTGAGGCTAAATGGGTGAATAGTCCACCTCTAGAACGTTCTATTTTTTATTTTTAAAATTTCTTTTGGCAGCACCACATGGCATGTGGGCTCTTCATTCCCTGACCAGGTTTTAAACATGTGCCCCCTGCAGTGGAAGCATGGAGTCTTAACCACTGGACCACCAGGGAAATCCTAGAAAGTTCTAGATTGATTGAGTTAGTAAGTTGTTTCCCCAAGGATGTGAACCCTCAATAATCTACCTGAATTCACAGTGTGTACCAAAATGTATACACAATGTGAGAAGAATGGAGTTGGGCTTGCCCTCTGACCTATAAATACTGAGGTGGAGATGAGATCAAAGGTGTTCTAAGATTCCTAAACCTGATTTTATTTTTTTATATTTATTTGGCTGTATTGGGTCTTAGTTGTGGCATGTAGGATGTAGTTCCCTGACCAGGAATTGAACCTGGGCTCCCTGCATTGGGAGCCTGGAGTTTTAGACACTGGACCACAAGGGAAGTCCCTCTAAACCTGATTAAGATCATAATTTTTGGTTTGTCTTTGTAAGGAAACAGGTCAACAACTGTGTAAGCTTTCAGCAAACAAGTATGGTAAACGCATTACTGAAAATAGTTTTTATGTGAATCAGAACACCGAGAGAGGGGTAATGACGAACTTTTTTATTACCCATGTTTAATCATTAAGTAGTCCTCTAGCAACTGGGCTGATGGCTATTTAAGGGTGTTTACACGTGTTTTAAGAAATGGAGCGCTTCCAGCAGAGAGGGGTGATGTTCCAGGTTGCTCTTTGCTCTGTTCACACCCCCTGCCCTTTCTGCCACAGACAACACCTGGTCTAGACGTCAGATCGTGCCCAGCCTGCATCAGCACTTACCAGAGTTTCCTGAAACTCCTTCTTGTCATCAATGCCATCCACCTTGTAAGACCCCGAGAGGCTCAGGTAGTAATAGTAGTCCATGGTGGTGATGCCCAGGCCATGCTTCTGCTCTGGGGAGGCGCCCTCGATAAGCTGGAGCAAGAGAAAGTGGCAAGTGTGTGGTGGAGCCTGTGGATCAGGCAAAGGTACCACACTACCACCCACCACCCCCGGAGTCCAGGCGATCAGACCTTCTACCCCTGCTTCCTAAATGGAGGGATGCTCCTGGTCTCAAAAATACGAAGGGGCTTCAGAATATCTGCTCTCTGTGTAGTAGCCCTAAATCATCTCTGCAAATTCTAGTTCTTAACTCTGATTAGACCTGCAAGGACTGAGAATTTTCCCTTATCTGACACACAGAATTGCGCAGTTACACTGGTGAGATCCCTTGGAACAGTGGAGAGCAAGCTAGACTATAACTACTTTGTTTCGGCTCAACTTGCACATGGCTCTTTTTTTATTTTTGGTGGAGTTCAACTCTTATTTTTTATTTTCTTAATCGGAGTATATTTGTTTTACAACCTTGTGTTAGCTTTTATTGTACAACAATGTGAGTCAGTATACAAGGCTTTTTAAAGGGCAGCTGGACTCTCAATGCTTCTCACAGCACGGTGCATATTCAAGTGCAGCCTCAGGTCCCCCACGCTGCTGTCCTGTGCCTTGGCTTTCTGTTCTGTCTCTGGTATCTACCTTAGTTCTGAGCAAGGGCCCTATAGGTGTGCGAGAAAATGTCCAACAATCCATTTTCTCTCTCTCTCTTTTTCTGGCTATGCTATGTGGGTTTCTCTAGCTGCAGCAAGTGCAGACCTACTATCTAGTTGTGGCGCCTGGGCTTCTCACTGTGGCGATTACTCTTGTTGCAGAGCACGGGCTCAGAGTGTGTGGCACCACGGGCTTAGCTGCCCCACAGCATGGGGAATCCTCCTGGACCAGGGACCAAACCTGTGTTCCCCGCGCTGGCACGGGCATGCTCTGCCACTGGACCACCAGGGAAGTCCTCAGCAATCCGTTCTTGAGGTGGGGGTGGGGAATGAATTTGCAGCAGTTGCTAACTTTGGTGGTGTAAATATTCCTACCATGACTGATTTCAAATTGAGGTGTCACGGAAGGAAGAAATACACACAGTGCATGCAAGCCAGCGCCAGCCACCACTGGCCCCCACGCCATCCACACGTCTTCATCTTGGTTTAGTTCCTCATGACATCCCAGCTTCACATCCTTAAAACAGGGAACCTCCTCTCCATTATGGAGAAGTTCTCAGTCATCCTATTACATCAGGTTCCCTTGGTTTTTCCCCCATCTCCTTAAAATCTTTCTGCCACTCTCTTCCTTTTCCTCTTGGTTTTGGTTTTGTCTAGGGAAGAACTTCTCCCATCTGTCTCAGTGTTCTCCCCCCCAGACCATGCACTCCCTTCACCTGAATGTTCAAACATCCCTTTCTTTCTCTCCAATCTACAGTCACATGCTTCTTTGTCTTCTTTAGAAGCTTTTCCTTGACTCTGAAATCCTTCAAGATACATAGTCTCCTTCCTCTCCTTCCTCATCTGGTTTCTTCCTCCCCCTCACTATTCTGCTGCTTTCCAGAGGCTGAAGCTACCAGTCCTTGCTGAGTCCCCAGGCCCTTGCCTCATCCTTCTCCCCCAAGCTCTGAATATATGATCTTGCCCTGTACCCCGAAAGCTTCCCCTGGCTTCGGTGACACTGCAGGATCTCTGACTACTTTCCTGGCTCCTCAATGCCTCCCTTATCCCACAGGTGGTCTCCAGGTCCCCAAGTCCTAAATGAGCATGATTTTTCTCTCCACATTCACTCGTACAGGAGTCTCACCTATTTCACAGCTTCTACTATCACTTTTATATCAGAATCTTAAACTCTGTCTTACCCTGAACTCATCACTCCCCCAGTCCCAGGCTGGGGTTTTCCAACTTGTGGGAAGAGGATTCTGAAGGGGGGTAGGGCTGGCATTTATAGTACAGCGTCTGAGAAATAATGATGAACTTCTGTCCAGTGCTCAATAAATAATATAGTGTATGTGATACATGAAACTACTTTTCAAAGACCTGTACATGGTGCTTTGATTAATACAATTAGAAGCAGTACTGAATTGACAGAAGCTTTTGGTCATTTATGGATATTTTAAGCCAATAGATTCTAACCAGAAGAATTGTTTGCCATCACCTAACATGTCTATGTAATTGAAAAGACTGAAATGGGAGCAATCAACATAGCTTAACTTCCTTCAAATTCAATAATCATCAAACTCTAACAAAAAATTAAAAAACAAAACAAAACAACACCTAACAGTTGCAGCCGATTCTTCAAAGAAAATATAATGTAGGTCCCCGGTATATGAAGAATTAATACAAAAATTTATACATTAAAAAAATTGTTTATGGTATCATTACACTTTCAAATACTTAAAAAACATTCAAAGCAATTATATTCCAATAAAAATCAATAATCATTAAAAAACATTTAAAAAAAACAGTTGAAACAAATGATTGCTGAAGCCTGGAACATAATTTAAAAACATCTGGCCGACTGCTCTAACCCCAAACTCTCCATGGCTTCTGAGAGTCTAAGCCAAAACTTTTTGACCTGGCAAGAAATACCTCAAGTCTTTTTCAAGTCTTTCTTCCCATAGTTCACCTTTTGGAGACCTCTGCCCTCGCAATCCGGCTGGAGCCTGGCTCATTCATTAGCTTACCGATCCCTTCCCCTCCACCTCTCCCATCTCCCCACCTTCCCATCCCTCCCTTCGTGCTTTGTTCAGACCATCTGACTCAACCTGAGTCAACCTCTCCTCCACACCATCTTGTGCCCCCTTAAAAGCTCTCCTTATTGTCCCAGCTATATCTCCCCTCGTGATCTCCTATTTAGCCAAGAATCAAACATCCCTACTTTTGTTCCCAAGTGTATCAACACTTTATTGTTTTACTTTAGGGAAATTTTTGTCTTCTCACCCAGCTAGACCTTATCCTGCCTGCAGGTAAGGGCATTCTCACAGTTCTTTGCACACTGACTTGCACATCCTGCGTTAATAAAGACTCAAGGGTTGGCCAGACTAGACTATCTCACCCTGAGGACGTGAGGACCAAGAGAAGAACATTTTAAATGTGGAGAAGGAATAGAGAAGTAGGAAAGAAATAATATAAAGGAAAACCTGGTAAAATATGTGAAAACTCCGCTCGCCAGGGTTCCTCATCACCACCCTAGATTTTTCCAGAAGGAAGTTGGAGATCTTTCCACCATCTGGTTCCCCACCTGGGCTGAACTGGATTTCAAAGTATTTTCCCTGCAAGAAAATTAGGGACTTCCTTTAGTGGTCGGTGAACAAAAACATGATGTTCCAAGCAGGCTTGGGACACAGCATATAATTCAAGGAAATTCATTAATGAAAGACATGTTCTGAATTATTCCCAGTTCTGGTCTAGACTTCCTCACTGTTTCCTATCAGACAATAACCTGTGCCTTTGTCCAATCATACAATTCTGTATTGAAAGAGCGAATTCTATCATTCTAACCTGACTAAATATGGACACACTCACTATATTCCTTCCCCTTTTCCCTTAGTAGGTGCTTGTCTGCTAAACCAGAAGCTGTAAAGAATAAGACAAAAAAATCACATGGTCTTCTTGATCTAACAAGAGTGAACTCTGCCAGCCTCTTTCAAAGGAATCAAATTTTCCTTCTGAGAGACTTATTTTCATGGCTTTGAGCAAAAGCAATTTCTTTTTATCCCAGGAGCATCTAATATGCTAACATGAAATAAAAATACTTTTATAAGTTCTTTCCAGCTAGCTGTGGGTGTGGCGATTTTTGTCACTGTTGTTCTTGTTAACATTTCCTTTTAAATGACTGCTAATAGGGAACAAAAGAGAATAAAACCCTGGACTGTAGCTGAAAAGGTGTCCAGATTTGTTAAGTAAATAATTTTTTTAAAACTACAATTTAGCGTCTCTTCAGTCCTCAGAAGGGTCCAGGAGTATAAATTTAAATGAAGAAAAAGATGAGAATTTGGGCTTTAGGGAGTGGTGTGACCTAGGGTCAGACTGGAGAGCATGCCCAGCCTAACTGCATTCGCATTTAATATTTTTTAAATGTGTATGCTGATGAACTCCACCATCTCAGGGATGAAGCCTGCCAAGCCACAAGTCTCTGACCAGAACCATTAACTCACTAAGGAGAAGAAAAACACACTGCGTGTTTTTCCTCCTGTGGATAGCACCTACTACCTGCTATGCTCCTGCTAAGTTAAGGTCGATTCTGGGTATCAAAAAGGCTACAAAAGAAAGCCACAGTCTAATTGTCTATTTGTCTTAATCTGCTGACTCATGCCTCTCCCTCTCCCAAAAATAAACCCCAAGACAAACATCCCGAAGCAGCAGACATGGAGAACCACAAACGACTGCTATCCCGAACCACAGTGGTTCACGACAAAGTCTGCTCAGCAAGACCCTTCATGCTTCCTTCCGTGGCCATCCTTCTCCGTCTTTCCCGTTGGGCATGTTCTGCAGGGAATAATTCAGTGTCCATTTGTGTCTGACCCCACCACCCCACCACCATTCCCTATCAATCTAGGGAGAGAAATTAAACAATACAGGATGTCAAAGCCACGAAGGGCAGATTTGGTAAACGGCAAACTCTCAAGTCCTTCTGGAAATGGTTCACAACCTTGGCTGCCCACGAGAAAGATCCTGGGAGCCTTTAAGAAATGCTGCCTGATGCCATTCCAGACAAGCCAATCAGTTGCTAGGAACTGGCACCCAGACATGAGCAGCTCTAAGAGGCCTGGCCGGTCTGTGTTTTTGACTCTGCTGGATCGTCACTGCCGCATGGGCTACTCTCCTGTTGCGATGCAAGGGCTTCACATCGCAGTGCTTCTCCTGCTGGGGAGCACAGGCTGTGGACTTGAGTAGTTGCGGCTCCTGGGATCTAGAGCACAGGTTCAGTAGCTGTGGTACATGGGCTCAGTTGCTCTGTGGCAGGCGAGATCTTCCCAGATCTAGGATCAAACCTGTGTCCCCTGCACTGGTAGGTGGATCCTTAACCACTGGGCCACCAGGGAAGTCCACCTGGGTGTTTTTTATATGTGGCCAAGTTTGAGAATCACTGCTCTAATGTAACGGGAATGCTTATACACAACTCAAAATTGTAATTTAAAAGGCAAAAATCCCTAATGAGAGATCAAAAAGTTTGGTCTTATTGTAAGCAGCCTGAGGGAAGGAGGAAACTATATAAAGAGAGGATAAGATATTTTAATTTGTAAATGAAAAGAAACTTCAGGTCTTGGTAATATTTTACTTCTTAAATTAGGTACTGGGTACCTCAGTGTTCACTGTTTTATTTTAAAATAGTGTTTGAAATATTTCATAATACAGTTCTTGAAACTTGAAAAGATTTGTAAGTGGAAATAGATGAATTTTTATGACTCCCACTGCAAGTCCATTTGAAGTAAAATTACCCATAATCCCACCCTGAAGCGCTTCTACCTCCTCCTGCTAATCACTATAATAGTATATTCAAACATTGATTTGCAGATACCTTAATTATGCTTTATATAAATGTGCATTTTAAAATAAAAATGGGGCCATATTATAGATATTGTCCTATAAGCTTTTTGAAAAAAATTAATAATATATTATGGATACCTTTTAAAAGAAACTATTATTAATAGGGAACAAGGATATTATACCTTAAAAGTATTGTTGGGTCAAAGACAATGAGCATTTTAAACTTTGATAAGAACTGCCAAATTTCTCTCCTGGGAGAAGATGTCAGTCTTTAATTAACAGTGTCTTCCTCCTTAATGTGTCATCATCTGACAGACTGAAAATGATATATGGTTTTAATTTACATTTCCCTCATTACTAATGAGCACATCTTTTGATGCCCCATCAGATTCTGCTGTGTGTATATACATGTGCATATGTGTGTATCTGTGTGTGTGTGTGTGTGTGTGTGTGTACTGCCTTTCTGTACTCTTTTCCCACCATTCCATCAGGGTTGTATGAAATTCTGTTTTCAGAAAAATAATAAATTCTGGGTATTTTTGCTTTTCTTTACAAAAACTGACTGCTATAGCCTCTTGTCCAAAGGCAAAAGAATAATTTACACTGGAAATATCAAGGGAAATATTGATTTGGTTACTCTTCTGCTCAGTAAGGAAGGCAAAAGAAGGAAGTTGGGTAGCTAGAGAGTTAAATTTGCTCAAATCCATTTTTATAAGGCAGATTGAGATTGACAATCAGGGAAGAAAAGATCCAGTGAAAAATTCATTCACATCTTCTTTCTTATTTCATTACCTAGAAACTTCAAGATAACATAGCCCTGGCATTGAGCAGAAAAATTTGAGAAGAAATGAGTAAATAGTTCAAATAGTATTAAACAGTGAGGAAAGTAAGGGCAATTCTGACAGATAAAACTCACCAGGGAGCTTAACAATTACTCCATGAAAACTTAGTAAGAATTCTCTTGGAAATAGAAGCTTCCTTCTAAAACAGAAGGATAAAAAAGAAATCGCTTTTCTCCAAAATTCTCACTTATTTATTTTAAAATGGAACAGAATCCACATCACAGATGGTATCCTAAGTGCTTTACTGCCAGACATAATCTATGGTTGAGATAAGATACAAAATCTACATAAATCAAAGCTACTGAGCAAACATTCATTTCTCTGTAAACGCGGCTTTTTGTCAAAGGGAATATATTCATATTCATCCTTGCCAGCCTTCCAGTTCACCCCCTCGGGAGACGCTCAGACAGAAAAACGTCTAACTAGGCATTCAAGGCATTCGGCTGATGTTTTCATTACTTTCGGTAAGCAGGCCAGTTAGGAGCAACGTGTAGGCTAAGGTCAGTCACTCTGGCATGCCATTATAAGAACATGCCAAACACACACACAAAAAGCCAAGAGGGGTAGGGTAAGCAGTCAGCTCCCTCTGGCTGACAGACAGGAAGAAGTTTCTCTCCAAGGTGCCAGATCAAAGTGTCCACTCCAGGGTCCACAGATCTACAAAGCAAGACAAGGTGACAAGACCTGGGATCTAGTCTCCTGGGTTCTTCAGTTGGGAAAGAAGGCCTTTTCTCCAGTGCCGAAAGCAAAGAAACTTCTCCAAGACCAAAGCTGACACTTCCACTTTCCTTACGAAGGCAACTTGAGTTGAGAACTGGTTTCAAAAATGATCTTATTTATATCCCTAAGGCTCAAAAAGAACTTGAGTCAAAGGGTGAATTGAAGTCTGACAGTTCACCACTAGAGAAAAGTAAAAAGCAAGCTCAAAAAGGCAGCCTCCTGATAATGTGTGAAAAACCCCTATTTCCTTGGGGACACAGAACTTAAATCAGGAATGTCAACAACATCAATCAGGTGGCACTCTCTATCACAGGAAAGAAACTCACAAATCGGCTGGAGTTGTTGTTCCGGACCGTCTTGGCATTCCCAAAGGCCTCCAGCAGTGGGTTGGACTGCAGGATGATGTCCTTGACGTGCTGTTACAGCAGAAAGACCAAAGTTAGGAAGACACGAACACCTACCCGGCAGTGAAAGACCAGACTTGCCCAAGGACCTGGTTTCTGAATGCAGTGAGGGTGAGAGGACTCAAATCCAAGTCCCTGGGATTTCTGGAGGATTTACTCTTTCCTCTCAACAGACCTGGCCCTGTTGGTGTGGTCATGTCTTCCAGCTCCCCTGGCTTGATGCAGGATTCCCTGTAGCCAGGGTACCAACACAAATCAGGATCTATGAATGTTCCCAGACTGGGTTTCCAGATTGGATGGTGTAGCTGTATCCTGTGCTCCCTGGTATATCGGGGAACATAAGAAGAAGGGGTATCTTCTTGTTTTCTGACAAGATTCTTAACCATCACTACTCCTGTTCTACTCAACTTCTGTCCCCACCTATTGCATCCCCCTCTTCACTGCAAATGAGAGTTACATTGAGGGAAATTAAATAGTTTCTCCTCCCTTAACAACATTACAGACACACAGACCTGTGCTTCCCAAATTTTCACATGCCTGAATCACCTAGAAATCATGTTAAAATGCAAATACTGACTCAGTAGGTCGGAGGTGGGGCCCAAGAGTCCACGTTTCTAGCCCTGGTGTTCCTGGTTTTGTCCGTATAGAGCTCCATTTGAGCAACAAGGATCAACACTGCATTGGGTGGAACAATTCCTGGCCTATTGGAGGGGAAGAATTCTTATACCCCAATTCAGTGTCAGACTGAAAAGTACAAAACACCCCATGGGCAAGACAGCTCAACAGATACGAGTTGATGTTGGAGAAGGTTTTGAACCAGTGAGTCATTCCTTGTACTTCTAATTATTCACATGCTATGGTTAAACATGTTCCAGAAATAACAAGTCTTTGGCTTGTGCTCTTTAGCTACTGACTAATTTCAAGCCAAGAGTTCTGTATCATTGTCCTCATAGGAAAACAGGAAGAGAAAAATCAACATTAAATGTCTGCAGTCGGGCCACTAGGTCGTCGTCCATAGCAAATCGGACGAGATGAAGGCACTAACCACTAATTGACTCTGCAACAGCCAAAGTGCTTCTCTGGCACCCCCTGAATATTCTGAAGAGCAACAAGAACTGGAATTCCATCCACTGGGCACATGTCATTAACAATGGGCACAGAGACCAAATTACGGGTGACTCCTCTATGGAATCCATTTCAGAGTTTAGAAAGATATTTCTAAGCAGCCTATTTTCCTTTAAAAACTCATGGATTTATATGAAATTTGCTTTTGTTTGTAATATAATTTTGACTTTGTGGATCTTTGTAAATCTTTTGTATTTGTTGTTTGCTGGCCAAACATCCCTACACCACTTATCAATATTCCACTTCCTTGTAGGGACAGAAAAAAAAGAAAAGCTCTTCTTTGTCTCTTTCCCTCTTAATTACTGACTTTTAAACTGAAAACCTTTTGCACGTATCCATCTATCTATTCATCCATCTATCCATCCATCCACTCTCAAGATGGCCAACAGAATTTCGTGGCATGTGGTAAGCATACAGGGGGAAAAAAAGAAAGAGCAAATTAAAAGAGCTGCCCACACAGAAAAGAATATCCTGGATTTCTGGCTCCATGTCCATCTTCTAGAGACAGGGTATGTTCACACAAATGGAGAAAAGCATATGGACCACATCAATTTAAGTCCCAGAGTCGCACTCACTGTCCAGCATGGAAGCTGCTGAGCCCATGCAGCATGGCCAGTCCCAACTGGGATGCGCTGTAAGTGCAGAACACACACTGGAGTCCAAAGATGTGGATGCAAAAGAACATAGAGTATCTCACTAACTCACTAGTGATCATAGGCTGAAACAGTATTGGGGATATAGTGGGTTAACTGAAATATATTTTAAAAGTTAATTTCATATGCTTTTTACTTTTTTTATGTGAGTACTCAAAATTTATAATTATGCATGTGACACCCACCATCCTTCTACTGGATGGTGCTGCTCTGGATTTTCCTTTCATTCGGTAAAGGAGGCCACTCTAAGACCTTTCTACTCTACGTAAGGAATACTGGCCTCTGCCTGAAGCATTCTGGTCACCCAGGACAGAATGGAACACTATTGATTTAGTGGACAAAGCCATAAGGAAGAGAATTTCAATGTGTCTTTTTAAAGTGTACAGCTGACTACAGCAATAACATCGTATTAAATGGTTCCAACTAAAAAATTAATCTTTAGGGTGAAATCTACCTGGATCATGATTTCTAATTAAAAAAAAAAGTTCCCAGAGGTCTGTGCTAGTGATGAGCGCTGTGAGTTTGGGCAGTTCCTGTTGACCTTAGGCTTCATCACCATCATCCGCTGCTCTCTGGGGGAAGGCTTTCCCAGTCCTGCTTATGCTGCTTTCACTACCACAATGAGTAAAACTAAAGACAAATGAGGCAGAATCGACCCCTTTTTCATACTGTCCTCTTGAATCTGCCCCTTCTCTGCCATACTATGTATGTTAGTTGATCTGTCATGTCCGACTCTTTGCGACCCCATGGTGTGTCCATGGAATTCACTAGGCAAGAATACTGGAGTGGGTTGCCATTCCCTTCTCCAGGGGATCTTCCCGATCCAGGGATCAAATCCAGGTCTCCTGCATTGCAGGCAGATCCTTTGCCGTCTGAGCTACAAGGGAAGCCCATCCTTTTCTTTATCCTTCTCCTGCGTCCTCATTCTTCTGGGTTTCCCCCCTTCTCCTAATGTTTTCTGTTAATACTCTAATCCTTCTTTCTTTCTTTCCTTTCTGTATTTTAAAGTTTTTGTAAATTCTTAAAATTGGAGATGTATTCACATGATTCAAAAATCAAAGGTTCACAGCCACTCTTACTTTCTGAGATAGCCAGCATGCTGCCTATGGAGTATATATCTTTCTAAATAAATCTACCTCTTACCTGTCAATAAAATAAAAAATAAAAGGTTCACAAGGGTCTACATGGAGAAATGCCTCTCTACTAGTCTCCCAGTTTCCTCCTGGAGAAATCACTGCTATTGATTTCATGTGTATCCCTCTGGAGCTATGTTATACATATCTAAACAAATGTTTTATAAATACATGCTCTTTTTTCTTCAAATGGTAGCACATTATATACACCATTCTGAGCTTTGCTTTTTGCAATTCATGATATATCTTAGAGATCAATCCTTATCAGTACATGAAGCTTCATTTTTATGGTTGCATAATATTCTAGTCTATTATGAACCACAAATTATTTCCCCAGTTACCAACTGATGAACATTTGTTCCAGTCTTCTCCATCATCAAAAAATGCCACATCAAAGAAATTTATACATGTATCATTTTGCATACATTTCAGGACACCTAAAGGATAAATTCTCCCAAGCAGAATTGAAGAGTCAAGGGTGTTTGCTTATAAATTTGAAAAACTTTGCCGACATGTCCTCCACAGAAGTGTACTAGTTCATGTTCCCACTAGCAATGTGTGAGAGGGCCAATGCCCCTATATTTTTAACAACAGAGTGTTTTAAACACTAGAAAAATTTTGTTATTCTGACAGTTAAGAAACAGTTTTTCAATGTAGTTTTAATTTGCATTTCTCTTACTATCATGGGCATGAGCATATTTTCATGTTCTGAGTGAATGAAAGTCGCTTAGTTGTGTCTGACTCTTTGCAACTCCATGGATTATACAGTCCATGGAATTCTCCAGTCCAGAATACTGGAGTGGGTAGCCCTTCCCTTCTCCAGGGGATCTTTCCAACACAGGGATTGAACCCAGGTCTCCTGCATTGCAGGCGGATTCTTTACCAGGTGAGCCACAAGGGAAGCCACATGTTTTATGAGTCATTTATATTTCCTTTTCTATGAGATGGCTTTTATGCCCTGTGTTTATTTTCCTTTCGGATTTGTGACCTTCTCCTAGACTGTATACAATATTAATTATATATTAGGCATCTCCATCTCATAATATGCTGTTTCTCTGCAGATTTCAAGTTTCTTGGTTATAAAACCAGTATCTTCTCTGTGGAAGAAAAACTCTTTTTCAAACAGCAAACAGAGCCTTGTCCTCTGGCCCAGCACCGAGTCTCAAAATGGGCCACAGTACCAACTCACCTGGACTTTGGGGCCTCCCCCAGACACTCTGGAGATGTAACTCATGATGTATTTGGCAGCCACTGTCTTTCCAGCACCACTTTCACCACTAAAGAAAGAAAGACAAAAAGACTCACCTATGAAGTGGCTCATGACCAGCTCCCGATCCTCTGAAAAGACTCCCCACTCCCAAATAAAACTGAAGAAGAAAACTGGTAGAAAGGAACTCGGTTAAAAAAAAATCACAGAACTGGTTGAGACTAAATCACAACCAGTGATTTAATCACAGTTAAATCACAGCAGGATCAGGTTACCCCTGTGACTTGTATGATCACTATTAACACAGTGTGTGGGCCGGGGGCCTGATAAGCACCACTGTGATGGGAGAGACCGTCCAGCATTCTAAATGCCCAATAATAGGAGACATGATTAGGAACATTACAGAACATCAGAAGGACAGACTAAACAGATTACAACTGACAGCAAGACTGTAAACATGGGGGGAGGGGTGGGTGAAGCACACAAAGTAGTTATGTAAAGTAAATCAGATTCAAATTAAATGTAAAAAACTGTAAAGAAAAAAATCACATTAAAAAAAAAAAAGGCTAGAACTAGAACCACAAAAGATTAGCAGAGGTTTGGCAAAGGAAAAGATACCCTGGGAGACTTCTTTCAGTTCACTATTTTCTAAACTTTTAGTCATCATGTATTTCTTCTTAATTAAAAAAAAAGTAGATATGCTCAGGTTTCAAACCATGCACCATGAACTGAGAACTGATGCAAGCAACTTTATTTTCAAGTTCTAAAATTAAATGATGAGGTAATATTAATCACATCCTGCATAACAAAGACTGCTTCCTCTTGGTGGCCTTACTGCATGGGGAAAGCCTTTTGTTAGCACCATAGAGTCAGATCTTCAAAACCCCGTTTCTTCCTTCAAAATCCCCTTGAATTGATGACGACCTCAATTCAAAACAAGCTTAAGTCAGTCAGATTTCTCATCTCTCTACAGGTGGCCTTTGTGTTACCATGATAGAATTAATTAGAGGAAAAACCCTGTATTGTGTAAAATAATGGTGAAATTCAGTATGAAAAATTGAGGGTGCTGTGAGTTCAAAAGACACTTTTTGGGTTTGAATTACTTTGGACTAATATATGTTTAATTAGAGAGATTATGGGAAAGAATGAGAGAACGGTCCTCTGTGAGGCCCTCTAAAGGTCTAACTCCATCAACAAGCTCATTCAGCATCCTAATATTCAGTTCCTGACTTCCAGGTCACATGAATACGGAAACCAAACTGATATTTCATAAGATATGGCGGCAAGTAGAAAGCCAGTGAGCCTGGGATGATGTGTCACGCCGATTACAGAAGCCATGCTTACTCACAGGCACAAGTAGGTATAATAAATATTTCAGTGCCATGAGGAAGCTATCTGTTCAAATGGCCCATGTGATCAGAGGATTTATACCCTAGGCCCAAGGTCAAAACATGCACTCTCACTCATCTGAAGCATAGGTTTTATCAACAATGAAACTCCAATAAAAACAACAATTTTATAATGGTGTAAATAACATGAACATTTAAGAATACTGGAAAGTCCAAGAGTACAATGGTACAACTAGCCTACCCACATCTCTTATGTCTCCTGCATCAGCAGGTGGTTCTTTACCACCAGCACCACCTGGGAAGCTCATATAATATTACACAGACATATAAAATAAATAGAAAACTATGTGGCAACACAAAGGCAATGCAGTTAATGTTAAGTGGCAACATAAGCAGAAGACATTGTACCTATGACAAGTTTACAACTATGCAAAAATAATGCAAAAATAATATATGAACAAGAACCACAATGGAACAAGGCAAAAAATAGTTCTGACTTGTTGGACAGCTGGTATTTGGGTGACTCTTGTTTCTTTTGATGTGATTTAATGTTTAAAGTTTTGGAAGAAGCAATTAACCATATATTTCATATTTTTAAAAACAGCATTTCCAGAAAAAGTGAGATTACACATCACAATGATAATCAACAGGATTAATTTCTTTAGATTATTATTTCTTTAGATTATTTCTATGTCACAAGTAAACAACTTTCATATTCAGAATTCCTTAGAGAAAGCTGTGTGTATGTGAAAGAGGAAAGAAAAAAAAAATCCTATTAGAATTACTATACACTTTCATACAGTGATGCCCCCACTCTTTCTCTTGGTTAATACTGTGATCAGACATAAAATATTATGTGTCTTTTGTTGAAAGGGGAAAAAAAAGGAAGAATAATGAAAGTGACTCGTTTCATATATTAAAATAAGTAGGCCGAGTACAATAATAGAACATCTACATTCTCAGTAACTGTGATATTTTTCAGAAGATTTAAAATAATTAGTCTGGCTGAACACTGATCGGAATTTTCATTTCTTGGTTTCAATTTACAGACCCATAAAAAGAAGTTTTATTGATCAGAGGCCAGTACTTTGCTCAGAATATGGTATAAGAATGGAATGTTACATAATTACTTGAAGCTTACAATACATATATAACGGTAATTATGTTGTCCCTTTGAGAGAAAAACTTTCTTTCCCTGGACTAAAAACCCACATTAAAGGAATATGAAGTTATCAGACAGATTATATGGCATACCTGAAATTATCTGCTTTGCATCTCACAGCAATGAGAGCAATTTGCTCTGCTTATGATTATAAGCAACCTTTCTTAATTGCCTTCACTGGACTTTCAAAGTGGACCAAAAAATACTCTAGACGTGAATGTGCCTTAAAATTAGAAAAATGCCCCAGTGGTCCCTAAGTCCAGCAGCCTACCACAGTCCTCAAAGTACTTAAAGAAGTGCTCATGTCTGGTTTGTCTTCAGACCTGCTGAATCCTAGTCTCCAAGGATAGGGCCTAGAAATAATTTCTAACAAACCCCCTAGTTCTTATATTGCTGGCTGGGAATTCGCTAAACAAATGTAAAACAAAGTCAAGACAGACTTCACAGGAAACATCAATTCAAAGAGGAAATAATGTAATGTTTCTGTGTGCATTCAATATACAAATGGAAACATTTGCTAAAGTATCAAAGAAATGGAAAGAGTGTTCAGGGTGAGGGGGGACTATTTACAATGATACACTAATAATTGGATTTAGAGACTATAACTGCTATTCTTAGTCTGAAAGTTATTCTTCGCTTAAAAATGAATGGTGTTTTCAATTCACTTCAACTGATTCTAGCAAATTAAAAAATATCTCAGCCTTATTTTGAGGGGAGCCATCTCATAGAATAAGTAGTCACCCATTTCTTCTATCTCTTTCTTGCTGCTGCTGCTGCTAAGTCACTTCAGTCGTGTCCGACTCTGTGAGACCCCATAGACGCCAGCCCACCAGGCTCCCGTCCCTGGGATTCTCCAGGCAAGAACACTGGAGTGGGTTGCCATTTCCTTCTCCAGTGCATGAAAGTGAAAAGTGAAAGTGAAGTCGCTCAGTTGTACTCTTAGCAACCCCAAGGACTGTAGCCCACCAGGCTCCTCCGTCCATGGGATTTCCCAGGCAAGAGTACTGGAGTGGGGTGCCACTGCCTTCTCCGATCTCCCCCTTGCTAGTCTCAAAAAATTTCTTCTGGTTCTTACCACACTAGCTTTTGTTCCCTTCTAATTGTTCAAGTTAATGTAACTGAAATGTTGCTCTGCAACTACACATTTATTTGCACTTTATAAAGGATAAAAATTTTAAACAGAAATCGTAAGTGCATTTGTTTACCCAACAAGCACTAAATGCCTCCTCATGCTAAGGGCTGGCTGGGGCTGGAATGAGATGGGTCTCCTGGAAATGAGAGGAGCCTACTGCACCAGGGGAGGTCAAATGCACTGATGCTGTGGTAACACCATGGAGATATGGGTATAGTTTTAGGGATTTCTGAGTATGTATTAGGAAAAGATTCCTAAAGAAATTCATAAGCTAAGTCAAGTCACACTACTTATATCTCAATGAGACAGGTTAAAGTTAGACAGGTAGGGGAGGGAGGGAGGGAGGATGTGTGTGTGTAGGCAAGCATTAAAGGGTGACATTCCTGTCTAGAATGAATGATTGATAAGATAATGAAGTTACAAAAATTCCCACTAGGTCCTACTTTCTTAGACCTGACTTTATACACAAACACACACATACACACACATACATATACATATTATTATTAAACTTGACTCCTATTTCAGAAGGTATAATCCAAGGGTAAAAAACACAGCGATAGTTAAAAATTTTTTTTGTAATTCTAGAGTTATAAAGGATAGACATATTAGTGACTAAAAGAATCCAGAAGATGAGAAAATAACACAAATTGCAAAGGAGATTAGAAAGCAAACTAAAATTTTGCAGGTTTAGTTTGCCTATCTGAAGGTTTCCAGGGCTGGAGAGAAAGGGGTGATCTGTCAGAGCCTGTAGTGACACTGAAAAATATAAGCCTCAATTACCTGCAATGGCTGAATGCATAAAATACAAAATCAAGCAGAAATGACTGTGCAAATGATAAGGATTCATTAACATAATGAAGACAAATAAGACTGACTTCTTCCAAATCAATTAATATTGTCAAGCAGACAAAATTATCACCTAGCGTCTGCCAAGAAAATGGCCCCAGGGCAACGCTCATCTTGGCCCAGGCCTGATGCAATAGGAAAAACCCAGTGTTTAGTCTGAACATCAAGTTTGAGCCCTAGCTCAGCTACTTGTTAGCTCTACAATTCCTTTTACTGTCACTACAGTAAAAGGAATTATTTATTAAAACAGGTATTTTAATACATCACTCCTTAACAATTAAAAAAAATTCTTTTATGTGTATTTCTTATCCAACAACTTTCCCTGTATTCCTCATTGGAGGACAGGGAAGCCTGGCATACTACAGGCCACAGGGCCATACACAGTCAGACACAACTTAGCAACTGAACAACATTAATCCCATTTTGCAGATGAAGTGACTGAGGCTTGCAGAAGTCACATGCTTTCTACAGAACAGAATAATGAGTTTGCCCTGTGACTCAACACCAGAGATCTTTTCACTGCACCACATTACCATGGGTGGTAACAGATGACTAACCAGACAACCTGACACCTTCTG